ACATATGTGAACGCGCACAAACTCCAATGCAGTTAACACCGATTTAACAAATCAACTTCTTAACTGGTGTCGTAGTACTGATTAGCCCCGATGGAGTCAACATGATTTTGTTAACCTCGCGTTCGCAAATTACCTCGGGGTTAAATCTGATTTGGCTAAACCCCCTTCGTAGTACAGGCCACTCTTTCTGCTTAGCCGGATAGGTTGGCGGATTTCTTGGAACAGGCCCCGGAAGACACGCATTACAATATTAAATAAAACCGGAAAAGGTAGGTACTCTCGTGATCTTGGCACTGATTCAACGTTGAGTATATTTATCATAAACAAGGACTCTGAAACTGAAATCTAACGGTAGTAAAATACTGTTGCAACGAATTGTCAGTGGTGGACAAAGTACTCAACTTTCATACAGACACGGATACCACCTCAAACTGTTACTCAAGTAAAAGTTGAGAAATATCGATCTGGTTTAAAATTACTTAAGTAGCCTATCGAAATCAAATAAGTACTACGTACCCATTCAAAACTGAATTTAGCATTCAAGTTTGAATACAGCATTGTGAGTCAGGTTGGCTAACTGATCAGCTGGCTGAAGTGAGATTTTCAATTCGAGACAAGCCTGCACACTCATTTACACGTAGCCTATTAACAGTTTTATCACCTTGTAAATAGTGTGTAGGGTTTGCAAACTACCCTAACGCTTTTGATGTAGCCAATTTTAGATTTATAATAGAACAATATAGATTTGCCGTAAGATTTCTTGCGAGAGCGTCAGATGCGTGACAACCCATGATTTCAAAAGGAGAAGATGCGTGTGCGGAGAAGTTCTTCTAGTAGGCCTACTAATTATTACTTGAGTTGTCGCACAGCTGAGAAAATAACCGGTCCTGTGTCCAAAATCTCACCCTCATAAGAAAGATCTATTTCTGATGTTTTGAGTCGGTCATTTGACCTCATCAAATGGGAACATAAGCGCAATGTTACTGATCGATACGGTTGAGTTTAAGAGGAAGCCTAGTGGAACTTGAGAAGAAACTCTACAGCGCGTCATGTTTGGTTACATACCGTATATTCTCTCCTGCAGATCGAGAAGGTCGAGCTTAGGGAAGTGATGAGAGGTCACCTGAGACATGGTGGGAATAGGGTTGCAAAGGGATGGAAAATTTCCAGAAACTTTGCAGAATATTTCCATTCCATGGGAAGATAAGCTGGGGAATTTTGGAAATACTACAAATTGGAAACTTTCCATGGGAATATATGGGAATTAACAGGAAAATTTCCAGAATTTTGCAACCTTAGGTGGGAACACCTCAGTTTTACCCTTAGTCAGATTTTCTCGATTGTCAAAGCCGATCACCAGAATTTAAAGAGGGTGGAAAACAAATTGAAACGGTGGCTCAAATGTCATAAATACAAATTTATTAGGTGTTGCAACATTGTCTTTCACGTTGTGATATCTAGAAATTTGCCGACAGCTGCCGAATGATTTTTGCAGCTTATCTGTGGGGATTTGATGTAGGGCCAGTTCCTTGGTGTGTTTTGTCCTCACTGAGCTTCGGATTTGATATGTTTCCTGACAAATAAAAACTGTGCGTGGCGGTATGATTTATCTGGAACACTGATGATTATCGTTATCAATAGTGTAGGTATGTCACAATCACCAGTTCTGCGCCATACGGGCTTTGGCAGGCAGCCTCGTTTTCAATTTGGTCGCCATTCCACAGAGCATCAGGGTATCCCAATAGTTTTTGCCTTTTTGTTGTGTTATTTTTGTGTCTATTAGGGTAACCCGTTCTGATAACGTAAAACACACCTTCATCTGGGGATTTCCATTCAAAACACGGTAATCTGACTTTCTGATAACTTCGAAATTTCTTCCCGATCTTACCGAAAATTTCACTCGTTAAAACCTTTGTTGGGACAATAAACGTAAGCAGAATTATTCTTCAAATTATGATAATTATATTTCTTAGTTAGTTTATTGTATTTAGGCGTATTTTGAGCAAAATGTATCGATCAGCAGTTCACTTTTTTGGATCCGCCGCGAGAGCCGGTCATGTTTTGTGGTGAACAGTGCAGCAAGAGCCGAAAATAGCATGATTTTCAGCATGGAATTTACAGCTTTAAAATGATGTGAAGGCTTTTAAATTAGGTTATATGTGTTTATGAATATATATTCTTGTAATAAAATGGAGTAGATACCCATCGCTTGCTTTTGTAACACAGATGATTGATAATTTTGAATGGGTTGGAAAGGTTAGAAATAGTTGCATATTGTCTTTTCAGTTACCTTTAACATGAAGAGAAAACGTAATCCTCCACAACCAGCACGGGCTGGCATAGCAAGGCAGCATCTCAAAGACTTCTTTTCTTCAACTCCCGGAGATCAGACAGTTCTGAACGGGCACATACTGCATATTTACCTGTACCTTTTGATACTTTACTATGGACAATGCTTTTCAAATGTATTATTATTGAATGGATTATAATGATAACACAAAGTACTTTTTAATTTGATGCTGTGGACTCTTTGAAAAGACATTCTTTGTATTATTCACTACATACATTCTCCGGTGAGTATTAATTGACAGACAAATAAATTAAATAATTATTTGTTTTATTTTCAGTGTATCTGAGACTGTTAGGCAAGGAATAAGCTTTCTAATGATACCTAGTTTATTAAAATCTGATAAACAATAACAGAGTTATGCTCATTTTTCTGAACACCATAAACAGGTCACAAAGTCAAATATGGTTCTCCATTGTTTTATCTGTTACTAAGTGGACGTTAAAAAGCCTTAATTGGCGTTACAAAATATCCTATAACTTTCTTGCCATTCATCACAGAAAGAAGTTCTTGGTATCATTGGAAAGGTCTTATCAAGCCCTTTCTTCTTTGTAAAAATCCAACAACTTTGAATTTTTTTGTGACATACCTAAATAATGTCACCTATAATAAGTCTCTTGCAACCGTTTTAGTTTGTTTCCACACTAATTCTTGCTTTATATATTTTGTATTAAATGATCTATACTACTATTACAAAATACAGATACTTGGAATAAAAAAAATTCAAACGTCTCCGCGCACATAAGGATGTGGGTAAATACGGCTTTAAAAGGGGATCGGCCTGGGCAGTCTCATAGGAAATGACGCTCCTTCTGGACAGCTGCTGCACGGCTTAAACGCGCAGGTTGATCTCATTTACTTTAGTGTGAGCTGGAGATGCTGTAGAAGGAGTGTGGTTTAATGCGTTATAGGCATACTGCGATTAACAGCGCAGTATAGATTTGGATGAATTCTTGCGGGAAATTTGAAGTTTGGCAGTTTAGTTACACTGGACAAATAGTCTCCTGAAACCTTAATAGAATCATGGATGCGATTTTTGATGTGTCGTTTATCGTGCCCGCGGTCATATTCACTTTTCTTGCAATTATCTTGGCCACCTCGATCTTCGGTAAGAAAGCCGATCCAGAGTCCGAGACGATCGTGGACGATGCTCCTGTAGAGGAAATTGCGAGGGAAGGAGATGAATTGCAACATAAATCCGAAAAACATAAGGCTTCACAGAGTGAAGTTAACAGAATAGAAGAGATCACGGCAGAACCAGAGTCTGATGTTCCCGCAGTGGCCCCGGTGGTGGAGAAGATGGGAACGCTGGAGAAAGAGCCCGTGACCCAGTCTGAGATTCCGCCTGCGCAACAGGAGTTGGAGAAAAGTCAGATAACGGTAAGAAATGGCTAAGGGTGAATTATAAAAGTAAAACACAACTTTCTCTTTAAGGGAAAAAAAACCGCAAAATTTTCCAGTATACGAAACCAAGCTAATTGGTTTAAACACGAAGGAAAGTGTTATAGGTGTCAAGTACTTTCCATGCGAAGTGTAAGTTTTTTGCATGTAACTAATACATAGTCACACAGTATGATTTAAACGGGTCACCACTTAAAATATTTAATGTTCAGATATGGGCACGTTTCTCTCCCAGTATTAACCTTTGTCGGTGTTGTAGTTACCGTTTAATGAAAGTTAGTTTTCTCTTCAGACCGTATCATGAAATTCTGGAATAATCTAGCGGAATTCACAGTGGATGTTAAAGCAATTAAGCTTTATGCATGCGGTTCTCATTTAACATGCAATTTGGGATCAATCAGTAATCTCTCTCAGATGAAGGTCTGTGTGTGGGTGGCGGCTTCGTGCTGAGCACCTGTAGGAGCAGTGGCCGGACTGTCACCTCCGCAAAGGGGAGAAAGCACAGGAACACCAGCGATGTCTCTGCCACTTTTTACCTTAAGCGCCCCCGCCCCCCATAAGCTCTTTAAACAGCAGAAAGAATGTGTCCACCGTTGCTGTAACCAGACACATCTACGAAGAATGCACTACATGTATTTGCTATATTTAGGTTTCAGCATGTATATATGTGTCTGTGTGTGTGTCTGTGCTCGCGCAGTGCGGCAATTCCGTGTGGTCGCTATAGTTACGGCGGGGAATGGGCAAGTTTCAGCGCAGGTGGGAGTGACACCTTTTCAGGTACAGCTGTAGGGATGGGATTTAGGTGTTAAGTGCTGGTATAGGTGTTAAGGGGACTGCGTTTAGGGTTGCGTCACCTATGTAACGGAGAGCAGGTGATATGACCTTCTGTGCCAGCTTGTAATGGTGAAATATAGATTCTTATTGCTGGCAGGTCATTAAGGCTGTAAACAATGCAGCACCGCCATATTCAGTCCCTGTAACAGAGCTCCTCGTTCTCTACTCCATTGTGTGTTATGGCAGGGATAATCTTTTCCTCTGCCAGCTGGATTGGGCCCTGGCAAATACTGCATCCTGGAGGAATAAGTGGGGTTAACGATTGGCTGCCGAGGTCCAGCATGTATGAACATCTCTGCGCTCTAACCGGGGTCTGGAAAGTCATAAAAACACACACAGACCTTCATCTGCTTCTACTTCAGTTATTTTTCATTTAACACCTTCCTCAATCTTTAATAGCAACAGCTAGCCTCAGTGTTTAATGAAAAAAAGTAACTCCGCTGTTCTCCAAAGAGCGGTGAAGGCTTGTGTGGAGATGTGCCGGACTTCCTGTAATGTTCCTGTGCGACGTTCCTCTTCCAGAAAAGTCTCTGACACAAACACAACAAAATGGAGAGTTGAGCGGGAGCCGGGGGCTTTGGTCTTCTTATGGATTGCAGTGCATGCATTGCTAGAGAGAGGGTTCTTGTAGAAAGCTTGCAGAAATGTGCAAATACACATGCTGGCCTCCTGCCCCTCTTGCCCCAGAAGATCAGTGAACGTTTGCTTCCATTTTGAGCAGCTAATGTTCCTCTCACCAATTGATCGGAGGTATAATTTTACCAGCGCTGGGTATTTTGAGGGTGGCGACTGAGGCACTGTCCAGAGTTATTACATTACACCCCCCCACAGATTCAAAACTCTCTAAGTCTCTGAATTTACGCTTGTGTGTGTGTGCTGCTCCTTGCCAGTCATTACAGGTGTGGTCTAGTGGCATAACTGCAGTAGGTCTTTCTGCTACCTGATGAAAACGGACATATTAATGTTCAAAAATCCATGGAGGAGCAGAGGAGGAAAAAACCTGACCAGTGTCCAGGTCTCGGAACACTGCTGAACCTCCTACTGAAGAAAGACTGGAATCTGTTGTGGACACAGTGTTGCTACAACTGTGAGGGACCGTACTGAAGCATTTCCTTCTGCCAAGTCCTCTCTTTATTAAACTGGGCTGTATTTTTTACCTTATTTAAGAAATGGCTTGAGTTGAGCTGTCAGAATTGTGGACTGACCTGTCACCATTACTGGACTCAAATCTCCCAGGCAGCAGCAATGAATCGTGTGTCAATGACGCGTGTAACCAGCCCCATTGTGTGGAGCCAGATTGCTGACGACTCAATGGCATTTTTTTATTGCTCTTTTTGTATGACCCTGCATTCAGACTTGGAATAATGATCTTGGGGGGGGGGGTGTTTGGAAAGAGCTCACCTTTTGAATCTGGGACCCTTCGCACTAGTTCAGGTGTACTTGTGATATATTCACATTGAAGTTTTCTCGTAGCTGCTACATGACCTTGATGCAGATGATTTCCCAGCCCAAGCAAAGGCACGTGGTGGATCTTTTCTCTCACCCCAGCTCCACACATATTTAACCTATGCAGTCACTCTTTGTTCCCCTCGTTCTTGCCTCCTACAACAGTCTTCCTCTCTTGATTCAGAACATACCATAAAAGGCCATGTGTTCAGCTTCCCCTACCCACCCACTACCTTATCTGCAGTAACCAAAGTTGGATATTTGTTCCAAAGCTGAATAATGAAGTTCTGAGTCAACAAAGCTCCCATGATGAATTTTGTTACATAGACGTGTGTATTAATGAATCCTTCTGTGACACCGAGCCAGGTATTGGAGTCAGTTCTGTATATTTCAGTGTACAGTATTCTATTGGAATTGGTAGGTGAAAGTTTCTGCTCTTTGCCTTTTTGCGGAAGTTCTAAAACAGATCCAGAACATCTGTAGTTTATATATAGAAGACTAGCATGGCGTCTGCTTCATGCAAAGCGATGGAAAAGATGGCTACTGCTTCCTGGAGGCAGCAAGTCAGCTCCAGAAAATTCCTCAGTGCCCCTGTTTCCTTGGGTTGGTCACCCCATCTGAGGCGTGAGATGGAATCTGCAAAGCTGCGTGCACATTGGCCGACTCCCATGTGACCTTTCCGGTCTGGAATTTCCCCTCGTGGCCCAGCCTTGCTTTCATCCACTGATGCCAGGATGTGTAGATGGGCTCCTGAGGACCAGCCGTGCTGAGTGTGGCCCTGGATGTGTACTTTGAGTGGACCGGCAGTACAGTCTTGTTGTTCTCGATTTCTCTTTTTGTGCTTGTGACTACCTGGTAAACTGATCTCCAGTGCAATCACATGAGCTCGGAGAGAAAAACACTGATTGGATTTTCTTGCCTCTGGGGCCAAAACAGTTCAGTTCACAATGATTATTTATTATTTGTCTAAAAGTAACATGAGCCCCTGCGTTTTCTTCCAGTGGTAGTGTCACTGCTGCTTGGATATCCCTTCACTATGTGAGAAGTCTCAGTCTAGAAGTTTCTCATGTGTGGCTCCTGAATGATGGTGCTGCCAAGTCACATCCGGTCATCAGATCTGCTCTCAACCTCCATATAACGCCTCCAGATGTATCTGTTCCAGAAACACCTCAAGCCTACACCCCTCTGTTCCCTGAACGCTCTTACTGTTACACTTTATCTGCTCATTTGGGTAGCTGCCTTATTAGATTATTGTTGTTTTAAAAAGCCCTTGCTCTAGTACTGCTTACCATTGTACATGGGAATTTATTGGAAGTTTGGCCTATGTTTGTAAAAAGCTGACTGCCTGACTTGTATGATGGCAAAAAGTGTCTTATCGCTAAATGCATGTAAATTATTGTAAATGTCAGCGTGACTGTAGAGAAACGGCTTCCCTTTTTAGCGTGAGCATTCCCTCGCGTCCCAGGGAGATTCAGCGGATACCATCCTGGAGGGATTTGGACCGAAATGTGCTCAGGACAGCCGGCCTGTGGGAGCCGGTAGCTGAAGACTTCAAGAAAGGAGCCAGTCTGACTGCAGACGCGTGCCCCCCCCCCCCTCTGAGGTGTCATCTCTTAAGACTGATGATTGATGGCAGCACTGAGTGCAAGTCAGACAGCGCCCCCCCCCCGTCCCTTGGTGCGGTCCCTTGGGCAGTAGTGACAGCTGATTGGCGATCTCTAGATTCCATGAGGCCGATTCACTAGGCACAACTGTGATGATTCCCCACTACCAAACACAGCCCCCGTTCATAGAGGAGTCCCAGTTTTAATGACACTCTCTATATCTGTTACTCATCATGTGGTATTAATATTATAACTGTTGGCCAGCAGCTCCTCTCCAAACAAACTGTAACTGAAATGCATTTAACCCTGCTGGGTTTGGATTTCTGGAACAGTCGCTAGAAATATTACTCCAATATCCCTCCATAGTCCAGAGGTATCTCCAAAATGGCCAAATTGTGGGAGTGCATTCCATCCAGGGTGCACCCCTACCTTGTACCCTGCGCTTCAACCCGCCCCCATAATCCTCTACTGGATAAGCAGTTGGAAGATGGAGTGAATGACAACCCACCCCTGTGTGCCGTCCTGATCCGGAGGCCGTAGCCATATCTGTGATTTTGGTCGGCATGACTTTCAGGAGCTCGGCCGGAGCTGAGCCCTCTGTCCTCGGCAATCCAGACATGACTGCTTGGTTAGGCACGGTGCCGGACATTGCATTCCGTCTATGCTGAGCTTGTTGGCTGTTTGTTTCAGGTCCAGCGGGCCTGGGATTGGATTTGGGTAAGTGCCCATAGCCTCTGAAGGAACATCAGTCTCCTCCCTTTCCTGACTCATTGCTGGTGCTGGTGGTATTAGTGTTAGCCCTGCACAGATGGCCATGATGGTCACTCAGCACCATGACGTGGAGCAGCCCCCATGTGGCTCTGAGGGGAATAGTCCTGGTGTTGACTGGGGCAAACTTAATTAAAGCTGAAGCTGAAGTCACAGGTGAACTCTTCACATTGGTCTGCGCATGCAGAGCAGTCTCGACATTCTAACAACTGACCATGTTATCTGGTTATTCACATAACATTATGACAACTGTAAACACAAAAAGTATAAAAGTAAAATGTATTGGAACCACTCTGTGTCTTGACTACAATTTAAAAAACTGTTGTGATTGTGCAGCCATCTCACTCCATAAATGAAAAAATCAGCAGTGACTTCAATCATCACTGCTTGAGTACGTTCAGTTGTACTCGTAATCGTAGTCTTGGTCAGTGTTCCTCAAATTAGGGAGACCCGGACGGTCCACAGATTTGCTCCTTCCCTGATCCCTACCATGGACCTAATGAAATTACTATCAACTGATTGCCTGTGCTGTTAAGTTGTCTGTAAATTTTCTGAATTTTCCATGATTGTTTGCTTTAGCAGAGTAAACGAATTGGGATATCGGTATTCAAATAGTAATGCCTTGAATGGTTATCTGAATAGTGGATTATTTGTGCGCACTCCAACTCTTCATGTCTGCTTTTGTTGGGCTGGAGAGGGTGGGAGAATGGGATGATTTTGCCGATGTATGATTTACTCATTCACATGGACATGCTCCTTAAGCACTATGCTCCCTGTTGTCCAGAGGTTTGTCATTGTGAATGGGAAATAGGAAGATTGAAAGGCACCTGTTTACGTGTCGCTGTCTGCCTTATCTGAACAGAATGTGCATCATGTAGGTTGAGTGAGTTGTGGATTTGCTTGTTTGAAAGATTCTGGGTTCATTTCTCTTTTGTTGTCCCCCTGTTTTGTCTACAGGAGTCTGTAGCAGAAATAATCAAGAAGTCTGTATCAGAGACACTATCAGTGGCATCAAGGATCCTGGAGAGTGAACCACCACCACTGGAGAAAAAGATTGTTCCAGAACCCATGAACCTTGCTTCCCAAGTGGGCTTTGCACCGGCTCCAAAACCCGTGCCGGTTCTTGAAGCAGCTTCTGAACCGGAACCTGTTCCTGAAGCACTTGCTGAAGCAGAACCTGTTGCACAAGTGGTACTTGAACGAAAAAATCTTCCTGAAGTTGCCTCTGTGGCAGCCACTGGACCCACATCAGTCCCCGAGGTCACCCCTACGGCAGCCGCCGAACCGGCATCCATCCCAGAGGTCACCCCTACGGCAGCCGCCGAACCGGCATCCATCCCAGAGGTCACCCCTACGGCAGCCGCCGAACCGGCATCCATCCCAGAGGTCACTCCAACGGCAGCCGCCGAACCGGCAGCAATCCCAGAGGTCACCCCTACGGCAGCCCCTGAAGAAGTATCTATTCTTGAGACCAGCTCTAAACTGGATTCTGAACAGGAATCTGTTCCCAAGGCTTCCCCTACTGATTCAGTGCCTGAACCTATTCTTGACCCCTTGTCCAAGACCACAACATCTATCCCAGAAGACTTTCCAGAGTCTGCTCCTGCAGTGGCTTCTCTGGAGGACATCCTGCAGATGGCAGCAGAGCCCGGCCCAGCGAAAGAAGAGCATATTGGTAAGTGGCAGGAATCATCTCCTGTAGTTTGGTTAATTCACATCCTAAGAACCTCGCTTCTTCAGTTCTGGCTGCTTAGATACCCACTGCTATCTGTCTGTCTGACACAGCTGCTCCCCACCCCCACCCTGCAGATGCTGTGGTGCCGTCCAGCTCAGACGGTGATGCTGAGCCTCTGAAGTACGTTTCCAGAAAACTTAGAACCAGTCAACTTGAGAAGCTGATGACCAAGGAAGAGCTGGAGGAAGAGCAGAGGTCAGGTGCATGGCTAGATCCCCCCCCACCCCCTCCCCAGTACCCTAACAGCCCCTTCCATCAATACAGCCACACTTGTTATTTCAAGAAGCTGAACACATTCAACATAACACGGTATTATTATTATTATTATTATTATTATTATTATTATTATTATTAGACCTTGGCCTAGTACAGGGTTCCCCAATTCCGGTCCTGGAGGGCCAGTCCATAAGAGAGTTTGCAATTTCCCAGGATTGTGACCATTGGGATGATTATGCTAGGGAGGCCAGCACTTCTGATCCTGACATTTTAGCTTCTGTTTTCATATTGAATCTGCTGTATATGACACAATGCCTGCATTGTTCCGGTTTGTGTCCCGTGACATTCTTGTATCTGCACTGCTAGGTTCTGTGTGTGTGTGTGTGTATGCATGCGTGCATGCGTGTGTGTGTATGTGTGTGCGCACTTGCTCGTGGGATACACACTAAGATAATAAATCCCAAGTTTTGCATGGGTGGGCTGAGTTCCGATAGTGTTTCATGGAAGCCCTAACCTGTTCAGGACTAAAAGCATCACATCCCCAACAAACAAACCAGATTGCGTTTTATGATGCCCTTGGTGGGAAAAGGTTTTCGCTTTGAGGTTTTCTTTCTCACGGAGCCCAGAAACAGGAAAGAACAGGAAGGAGTAGAATATTAACTGTTCCAAAAAAATCTGTCATAATTGCTGAAGGATGTAGTTTTACTTTTCCTGCATTATTACTGTAATATGTAACTATTTTTGTGTGTCCTGTGACCCAAATTACGTTTCAGCCAGTAAAAGTGAATCATCCAGGTATGACTGCACATCAAACCAAGGGACCAGCCCTTTAATTCCTTGCAAGCATCTCAGAATAGCAGTGACATTCACTGCTTACATAGCTTGTGACTCATACTTTGAACAGGATTTGTGATCAATTTGCAGAGTTATGTGTTGAATGGTGACCTTGGCACTATCCCACTTTACCATAGTCATCGGAAAACCACTATGAACCAATGTGCCATTCCTGCCTCCTGTTGTTAGGCGATATGACATTTTTCTAAACTGCAGTGTTAAAGAAAAATTTTCTTACTATAATTTCCAAGGTCCCTCACACTTTACCAGAGGTGGATATTTTCAGGTCCAGAGTACAAATCCAGGCCAAGATTTTGTTTCAACCAACCAGTTGAGTATCTGTGACTGTGTCTTTATGCTCAACTGGTTGGTTGAAACAAAATCATGGTCTGGATTTGTACTTCGTGGACTGGAACTTTAAACCTTTGCACTTTACACATTGTCACTCATCAAAAACACTAGTTTAGTGAAAATCTTAAAATGTTAATATCTGAATGAGTTTTATTCAAATTAATTCTGGTCCCTGAAATATCTGTACACCCTGACTGATGTCATATATTAATGAACTTTAGTAACATACACGCCTTCCCCTCGTTTCCATTGCTGCCACCTTATTACTCCTTATCCAGTGTCCCGAATGCTCCCAATAATGTTATTGGAAGTGTAAAAGCGCAATGTTTTTGAACCATAATTCCCCTTTATTCAGGTGCGATACCATTGAGTAGTCACTAGATGGCGCTAGAGGAGTGTAAATGACTAGTCATTCGCGTGTCGTTTCGTTGGGAGTAGGAGAATTTGGACAAGCCAGCCATTGATATTACTCTCAATTAAGTCATGATTCTGCGTAATTTTTTTTTTTTGTTTTCTTAACTGGCAAACATAATAACAGTTAATGAACACCCATCAAGGAAGGGGATTTGTTCTTGGTTGCTAATTTTCTTTACGAGTCACTGGTGGAAATAAAGGCAGTGCACTTGCACTGCGGCCCTAAAGAAATGGGCTGGGTGGGGGGCACAGAGGGTCCATGGTCCCCTTTGCAGGGAGGATTTGGGGGCTATTGGTCCATGAGGTTAAACTGCTGAAGCACATTGCATTGCATTGTGAACTGCCTGAAAGCAAATTACATATGCTGGTTACGATATGGTCCATGTTACGATATTTCGACGGTATTCCAATTCCATTCTGATTTTCACTTTCAGTACATTATTCAATAAATTACATGATATTAATCGCTTTATTATAGCCCAACTGTAGGCTAATGTAAGTGCTCTAAGCATGCTTAAGGTAGGCTAGGCTGTGATGTTTGTTAGGTTAGGTGTACTGTGGGTATACTATGTTAAAATGCATTTTCGCCTCCCGGTATTTTTGCCTTATGATGGCACACACACACACACACACACACACACACACACACACCGTTTACCTGGCTGGCAAGTCTGTCTTGTTCAGCAGAGTGCCTAGATTGTAGATCTTATCTGTCTAGTCTAGATTTTTTGTTTTTTTTATCGCAAGGCTGTAAGCAGTCGTCTACATTAAGGATATTTCACGGATGCATCTGTATCATTTAATCATTAAAGGTCAGATGCCTTGTTGGTCATGTGGTTGTTTTGTTTTTGTATGTCTGATGTATGCCTGAAACCTTTGAAATGTTGACCTTTCACGGAAGGGCCCTCAAATAAATGGTGCACAGGAGTCCATTGTAAGAACTTACACCACCAATATCTGTCTTGCATGACACTATTACAGCCATGTATTAAAAACAAGTTGAACTCTGTCTTCCTAAGCAAGGTTATCAGTCAATGTCTCTGCAGGGCTCTTGGTGTGACTCAGTAAACAGGCCTCTGCTCATCCAGACCTCAAAGGCGGGATCTTGCATACTTCCACTTACTCTCCCCCCCCCCTCTCCCCGCCCTCCCGAGTCCCTGCCTTCACTGTCAACTCTCCTCCTGCTCTTCTGAGTTAACCTTGGGCTTCCAAACACTGCATGGCTTTAAAAACGGTTTTAGCTGCAAGCGGAATGGGGGTGAGGAAATGTATTTAGACATTCGACTTGCCAACCTGGTTCAAATGTCTACGATGGAGACAATGGGCTTGTTTGCATTATTTATGTACAATGCGTCAGAATTTGGATGCACACTCGTATTGCTGGGTGCAGTGAGGGCGATGTGAGATGCCTCGAAGTAAAGTTTCATGTTTGTTGAGTGGCCGGTTGTTTCTTTTTCAGAGCGGAGGAGTAGGCTTACCACCAGGCATTTCTCTGTGTTGGAGTCCAGCTTAATGAAGATGAGCCTCAACTCTTTTGGTCATTGAGTGACTGTGTCATTGAGAAATAAACGTGTGTGTATGTGTTTGTGTTTCGATTGGTGGATGGCAGTCCTGCCCTTTTTATTCTTTGACCTTGCATGCGCAATCGCAGCCACGCTGTGCGGGGGTAAGATATTCATTTTTCACCATTGTGTCTTCGACTACCTTTGTCAAACACATTGAAAGAACCCAGACCCAACTTCACTTTTAATGGGATTTCTGTGTAGTTGACAGTAAGACATTTTATATATTTCTGCCCCCACTAATGAGGATAAAGTTGTGAGTGTTGTCAGGGTGTCCTGACTGCGGCTCGCCCATTGTTCTGTGTTGACTGCTCTCAGATGCAGGTGCTTGTGTGTAGTCATTACCTGCCATGTTAATCACCGTGATGTCTTTTCCACTCGCCCTATAAACTAGTCAGTGGTAAAGCAGTACCGGGAGCTCATATGGAATGGAGACTAGTGTATTGTCTTTCACAGATCAGTTATAATCAATGTTTTTTTTTTCTTTTTTAAATGACTGTGGCACTTATCTTACTGGCCTTTGTAACAATTAAATGTCAAGGCTGTGTAACCAGTTCTGTGTTTTGAGCATTTATTTCTGGCATCAGGTATGTCAAAACAATACTTAAAAGGTTGACTAAGTTCATGAGCCTGCACTGTCAAATGGAAGGAATGAGGAAGAGACCTGGCCAAAGGCATGTGACTTTAATATTCCTTTGCACAGTCTACCTTTGATTATGACATAGTTTCCGCAAGCTTATGCAATGCCTCAACGTTTATTTGATTCCTGGTCTTAGAGGAATGTCTTATGAGGAGAGGTTAGCTGAGCTGAATCTGTTTAGCCTTGAGCAAAGGAGACTAAGGGGGGACATGATCCAGGTCTATTAGATTCTAATGGGTCTGGATGCTGTTCAGCCGAATGGCTACTTTAATATTAGTTTGTGGCCATAAGTGGAAATTAGCGGGAGAACATTTTAAAACAAATTTGAGGAAGCACTTCTTTACACAGTGTGTAGTTAGAGTATGGAATAGTCTTCCTGCTAGTGTAGCGGAAGCTAAAACACTGGGTTCCTTTAAATCAAGTTCTCCTCAAATGAGCTTGATGGGCCGAATGGCCTCCTCTCGTTCTTAAATTTCTCATGTTATTATTTTCTCCATATTTGCTTCAGTTTTACACTAAGATATTATAGCGCTCCATAAGGTCTTTTCCAGCGCATGCCAAAGACATTCATTGGAGTCAAGGCCAACTCCATGAAGCTCTCCTTGATAATTCGAGCCCCATGAAACTTGGCATCAATCGATCAGGAAAGAAAAAAGTCATTGATGCATAACCTGGTCATTCGGAACCTTAAGATATGCGGCTGCCTTCATTTTATTGCTGTGTAATGTAGCTGAATGGTAATAATGATCCAGTTATTGGGTTTTAAGTACTTGCTGATTTAAATTCAAACAATTTATTTTTTTTGGTTGGGCAATGTAGTAAAACACATTCTACAGCAGGGTTGGCAAATCTTATGCAGAAAGGGCCACTGTGTTTGCGGGCTTTCGCTGCAACACCCTCGTTAAATTAATAATTAGAGGACTGATTGGCTGAAGAGTCCTCACACCTGGGTTTGAACAGCTGACCTAAAGGTTATCCCAAATACCTGCACACACACCGGCCCTTTGCGGATAAGAGTGCCCACCCCTGATATACAATTTTAAAAATCAAAGTGTATATAAGGAGGAAGTGAGACTTTCTGTATTAAACCTGGAGGGGTTTGGCGTGAGTCAGTGATTCAGTCTGGGTGTGATGGCTGACATGGCGTCCACTGCGTTGTGCAGTGAGTTGGTCTGGGTGTGACGGCTGTGACATAGCGTCCACTGGCTCGTGCAGTGAGTCTGTCTGGGTGTGACGGCTGTGACATGGTGTCCACTGCCTCGTGCAGTGAGTCTGTCTGGGTGTGACGGCTGTGACATGGTNCTCGTGCAGTGAGTCTGTCTGGGTGTGACGGCTGTGACATGGTGTCCACTGCCTCGTGCAGTGAGTCTGTCTGGGTGTGACGGCTGTGACATGGTGTCCACTGCCTCGTGCAGTGAGTCTGTCTGGGTGCGACGGCTGTGACATGGTGTCCACTGCCTCGTGCATGTGTGTCTTTTGCAGGATGCAACAGAAACAGCTGGCTGCGATATTCCAGCTGCTGAGGAACAACAAGGAGACCTTTGGCGAGGTGACGGAGGGGGACGTGACGGAACAGCTGAAGCTCTACTCCAAATAGACCTGGATGCTGGGTGGACTGGGGAGACCGGGAGCTGAGGACAGGTGTCTTTTGAAGCGTTTAGGCACCAAACCCCTACGGCGCTTTGGCCGTGACAGGAAATTCGACATTCTCATCTCCTTGCTATATTCAGGCACAAGAGAGAATCAATTTTGTTCCATGTATTTGCCACAGCATAAACTTAAAATGGAAGCTTTTTTTCTGACCTGGTAGGTGTGCACTTCATGTGCATTCACTGGTGTATTTGTTTCCTTCCTCCCTTGCTGTTAATGATTTTGGGAAGGTCTTTCTGCCTGTCTGACTCCTGGTGATGTGGACCAGCTTAATTCCGATGCTGCAGTGAGAAGATTGTCATGCCGAACGGTATTTAGCTTTTGTTGGTGGGTTACCAGTAAATGTATAGTACTGGCACATCATCACCTCCAGTTCGCTTTAAAAAACCGAACTGAAGAAACAAGCCATCATGACCGTCAGGTTTGCTTGGTGTTTTTATGACGTTTCACTGGATATAGTTTTGCACGAAGTTACTGTGTGTTTTTATTTTGTGTTCACATTAATGTATTATGAAGAGCATAGCATAGTGGAAAACAACGATCCTGCATTTATTGTACAAGCTGCGTCCAACTGTCTTGAATCCTGTGAAATAGGTAATAAAGTTCTTTTCTGTTTATGGGAGTCTAGCTGTTTTGTGATTTAAAATGAAATTTGTGTGGGAGGCATTTTACAGAACGTGCTGTTAAAAATGTTATGTTTTCTTTGCTAAATTATCTCGACAGGTGCATTAGGCAATAGGAAATTGGTTAAAAACGCTGGATAATCATGGGATTGCCACATTAGTTCTGTGCTTTCTACGTCTTAAATACATAACCGAAAGACTACACAAAAAAAAAAACTAAAGAATCTGTGATTATTTGCTGCCAGAGAATTGGTATGAGTCACACCCTATATTTATTCAACTTTATATGTATGTGTTATGGCACGCCCGCTCCCAATCGCTCGCCCACCGAAACTTTGGCATCACCTTAACGTTCCTTTTTAAGATCTAAAATGACAGGTACTTAGCAAATTCCACAAACATGCTTTTCCGTTAGCTACTCGACTCTATAACATAGTGTGACTACGAAACATTACAGTCGCTATTAAATTTCAAAATTGTTTTAGATATTGTAACAAATATTTGTTTGTGTTCACTCCAGGGACGTTTCTAGCTATTGGAAAAAATCCGGAGCCAAGTCAAGTGTTTTTTATTTTATTTTGAAAGAAGACTGGCATCGGGGGTAAAATGGTCATGGCTAGTGTTAAAATGTCGGACCTAACGACGCCCATGGCTGACTTCCACCATAATGAGACGGTATATAACAGGGGTGGCCAATCTTATCCGCAAAGGGCCGGGGTGTGTGCAGGTTTTTGGGGGTAACCTTTAGGTCAGCTAGTCAAACCCAGGTGTGAGGACTCTTCAGCCAATCAGTCCTCTAATTAGTGACCTAATTAGGGAGTTGCAGTGAAAACCTGCATACACAACGGCGCTTTCTGGATAAGATTGGCCACCCCTGGTATATAAAGTCAGAGAAATAAATAAAAGTAGCGTGTCACGAATCTGTGTGATACGCATGACATCAGCGCCTTACTTCTTACGAATGTTGCATTTATGTGAGGTTTGTTAGACGGAGGGGGGCCTCGATCGGGCAGCTGCCCCGTATGCCAGTCCGACCCTGGATGCACCGAGTCACCAATGTCATTTGGTAGCAAATTGAAAAAGTAGTTCTTTTTTTCTTTATTGTATAAAACACGTAATATGAAAACCATATGTAATGGAAGTGCAAAAATTGTATTTCCGTAGTCTTAAAAATGTTTATTTACATGTAGGCCTTTGCACAGTACAATAATAAACCATGGGGAATTGTTTCATGGCAGGGCGCAAGGTTAATGCTGGAAATTTAGAAGTTATTCTTAAAACGATTATGGATATTAGACAAATGTTAATATAAAGTCAAACAATTGTTTTATATAGTAACTATAGACAAAATAATAAACATTCTAATTCAACATTTAGAAGATAAGGTATTGTTAATGGCCTTTAATTTTTAATTATTATGAATTAATACTAGTTATGCCTTACAAGGCACGGACCAGGGAAGCTGGAAAAGGCGATAAGGACTGGGGTAAAATAAAGGGATTTAATAGGCAATAGGGTGACCAGACAATCCATGTCAGGGAGGACACTTTGAGCTACTTCGGCTAAATAGTTTAGCTCTTCTTGTGCTTTGACTGGTTTGTTTCCTTGACTGAAAGACTCATCCAGCTGTTTCACATTAGCATTAGTGACACATGCATGATTATAGGAGACTGACCAATCAGCACACAGCAAGAGCTGAGTGCTCAAGTGAAATCCAGGTCCGTTTAAT